CCCTGTTACCTACCCAAATATTTTTTATTTATAAGTAATAATTATACACCTAAGGCTTTTTTTGAAAAATCAATATTTTCCTTCTCATTTTTCAGACTTAGGACTGCCAATATAATTRTATCAATATTGGTATGGTTAAAAATATTGGTTTTACTGGTTTTTTTTGTTTTTAATAAGAAAATATATTATTAGCAATTAGTAATAATGTGCCTGTAAAAATGTGTATGGTTAAAAAATGTATTATTAAATAAGGTCTTCGATCTAATACACACTGACTGCTTGTAATATATTATATTAGTGAATATATTATTATTATCTACATGGACGTAAATAGGGGGGGGACTTAGGAGGGCTTAGCCCTCGCTGAGCCATCTTAAGCTCTCCCTAAAATATTTTAATATTTAGACATTTGAGTTATCTTTATTATAATGAATTATATAATTTAAAATCTATATTTATAATATAATCATCAAAGCTTTACCAGGTCGTCAAAACTCCAAATTTTTCTCTGTTCATAATCCATAATACCTAACAACCTAACCTCTAGAATTCGATTTTCCTTACGCGATTATATCTTTTTCACATCCATAAAGATTATGTAGAATCTATTTGACGTACTCGGAATGAAACTAATTACGACCGCGATTAAAATATATTATTGTACTTTACCTACTCAATCAAGACTTTAATAGTACCATTTTACCAATAAACCTCTGCAAYGRGTAAACAGTTGTTGACATTGAATAAAACGTAGTCACTCGGAATGGGCTCCGTAAAGTATAAGTCTTTGACTCTTTGTCAATCGCTGACAAAAAAAAGTGATCACGGCAGTAGAAGCAGGTGAAAAATAACGTTCGATATTTTTCAGCTCTCTTTAATTCGAATTGATTTCTTTTCCCCTGATTATTTTGTAACACTCAGTAAATYAAAAACTTCTATAAATCGAATTTTTAGCTCAGTCTTCTGAATAATTTCAAGTTATCGAGCGACTACTGTAATCAACTATTGCATTTGCAATAGGGGTTTTACTGAATTATGGATTGTATATATAGGCGCCAGTAATAGAATCATTTCGCAGTAGGTACAGTGTATAGTGTACACTTAAACGTTACATACTTTATAAAGTAACCACAATCCTTATACCTACTTATAAGTTATAATATAGAATGATATATGTAAATATTCTGTTCGATCGGACTGTTATCAAAACTTGTTTAACAAGGCCTATGTACATTTTTTCAAAGATAATTTTTTTTTAATCCAAATATATATATGTAGGTATACAATGTTTGATTTTGTAGTTTACACGTCCCCACGCAGTGTCAATCAATACACAAGTTAATCCAGTAGCCATTYCAATGTTGAAACCGATATATTTTTTAATTTCATAAAAAAAATAGGTACCAGCTACTTCTACGTCATAATTTTCGCACAGAGTGAGTGCCACGCGTGTCTCACATCTCGGCCGTTTTATTGTTGACTGACAAGACGTATGATCTACAATGTAACGTTTCCCAAACTGTGGTCCGCGGACCTCTAGCGGCTCTAGCCCTTCTTTTTTTTCTTGTTCAGAAATCAGGAACGGGTGGGAACTGTTCATCACAATACTGCCACCCGTTCCTGTATCGTTTATACTCCAACATAGCAATTTAATTTATTCAAAAGCGGAGGTGGACCCCTAACCCTAGGGGCCTGCGTGTGTACCAAAATGTGTACCTAACATAACCTCAGGGTGCTTGAATTATTATTATTTAATATTGTTAGRTTAAGTTATTTATATTACTGGTTCCAAAATTATTTTGTCTTTACTTTAATAGTGATCCGGTGGAGGAAAAGTTTGTGAAACGCTGATCTAAATCATAATATAATAATATAAGCGTCATCCGAAAAAGGTGAACACCCTATATACAGCACTTGCGTAATTTGTTTTATAGCAGTATAATAATAGATATACAGTTAATATTATAATGATGATGACGATGACCATGAATTAGTGGAATGATAATTCACCTTGGTTATCGTTTGTTATTATCTTGAGTACCTTCTATTTGTTGTCGCCATTTTACAATAGTAACTCTCAAGTAGATACATGGTTTTTATCATCTAGTAAACAACCCAAGTTGAGTGTTGTATGTTGTGTTACTGTGTGTGTATATTTAAATAACATCATTATAAAAATAATAGTCCGTGACTACTGACTTATTAGTTTATTACTTGACTATAGGTACACGATTTGTAAACGAGACTTAATGATATAGATGATTAGCGCGGACGAATTAAATTCAAATCCTCGTTAGTCATTATTATAATATCTATTTGTACATTGTTTTATACATACTGTTGAAAGGTATATTAAACGAACTACATACATACATGCTTGTRGGTTTCAATCCACTCTCCTTCAATCTTCTATATTGTTCCTTTTGCGACCAACCGATACGCGTTACCTATTACTTATTAGTTTAATAGGTACGGTTACAATGGTAAGTATACTCACATAATTTATGATTATTATTTTCCCCTTAAATTTATTGCTATCGACTCCCAAGAGCATTTGTTTCTTGCTTGAATATCCTGTCTGCATCTAAGTACGAACTGTTAACCATGTATGTGTCTATATGTATAATGTTATTGTATATATACCACAGTTTATAATATTAAAATATTTAATAATATAAAWCTACCTATCTACTTTTTGGTGACCCGTGTACAATAGTCAATATATTATTAGGTATTAGGTATATCCATATGTGTTAAATAAGAAGTAGTCTTGTTCGATGGACTATTGTGACTAATAAGTATAACTATATAGATATTTACGCGCTTGATAATAGTTTTGATCGATTTAAATGAATTATACTCGATAATGGAATCTGTAAAAGTTATTTTTTTTTTAATGAATAATTATTTATACTGCCATACACACGATAAACATATATTAAATGATTATATTATTAATTGTCATTACGACCATTCAAATATTAATATAATAATAATATTATCAAATGTTTCATAATTTATTATWCTGTCGAATGTATTTAGGTCCATATATATATGATAATATTATAGTAATAATAATGATGCAATTACCGTTGTTGCTGGTATGAGAAACATTTATTGTATAGAAAATTAAATGGTAGTTCCACTCTCTATAATATAATATATCGTATTATCTGTTTATCTACAGTGCAAATATTTACTGACGTTTACGGTTCTCTGTTTTCATAGATTCTGAGTGAAGCGAAGAATGCTAGTTATAGTGGTGTATTTTGTTTTTATTCCTAGATAGGAGGTTTCTATATTGAATCTTTTTGTGAACACTTATTTTTGGATTGAAGAAGTACTCGTTGTTTCATGTATAACATAATAAAATAAAATAATTATTTTCTAAATGGTACATTATTGGAATATTGTAACTTTTCGATTGTACTAAGAAGTTAGAAAAAAAGACAGATGACAGTTAACCGTTTTTTTTTTTTTTTTTTGTAGAAATGTCACCTGTCAGTGTTATAGAATGCCGCCAATTGTTTAAACTGCAAAACTGTAGAAATCATTTTTCGGTTTCCATAATTTATCATCTTATATTTTAATTTTTTGTAGAACTTCACATCAACAAAGCGAGCGAAGTAAAATAAGTACATCAGCCTCTGATTTGTATTCAAAATAATATATATGTATATATGAATACTATATTTAGCGTATATTTATTCGAAAAAATTATATAAAAAAATGTATTATAATTAATATATAAGACAATACGAGTCATTGTATATGGGCGCGCCGACATTCGATAACGTTCTATATAGTAATAATAATAATAATAAAAAGAAAGTAAACGCATTATAACTATAATTAAAATGAAGTTGTAAAAAAATTATTTATATTTGGTCGATTACACTCAACAATTTTTCGTACWACTAGCACAGTATTTTATTTCATTAAAAATTAAAATATTGTATACATTTAATATTGTTATATTAATTTAATACTTATAGATATAGGTGGTAGGTATACTAAATATTATATCAACATATTATGCGTGTCCGTCACATTATTTTTTATTGAAACAAATTTTATCGACCCATTTTATCCACCGTACCTGCAGTATAAAATATAATTGTACGTATATATAATATATTATACATGTATTTTTTTCCTTTATAGAGCCGCTGCCATGGTTGACGCAGTTTATCGCGGTAACATCGACGAGTTGTTGTCTGTGATTAACCACCTGAAGAAATACATAATCGCATTCATAATCGTGCTGCTGGTACTGTTATCGGTGTTTCATTTCTCCAAGTTTTCAGTACATGTCGTGCCGTTGATCATCGTCACGTTAGTGCTGTTGCCGGCCGTCTACTACGCGACTGTTCTCGTTCTGAAATTCAGCACCAGCATAATTGCTTCGAATCAAGCCGTGAGTATGATTAAACTTGGGCAATGCCTGTTATAAAATCGTATTGTATGTTAGCTATAGTTGACACCGTATAAAGTAAACCAGCTAAACTGTACATAATATTATGCTAAATATTTCAAAGGTATTCATCAAAATTCATATTGTATACCTATAGTATATCACATACGGCGTCTATACCATATTAATTCTTGTTTATCGTGGACTACCTTCACACTAGCTAGCTAGTACACAGCTCACGGTATACAATAATATTATTATACACTATATTCGTATATATATGAATTCAATTCATTCCAGTGGGCAGTGGCTACTCGTTGGATGATGATACATATTGATATTTTTTTGGGAATGTAAGAACCCACCAAATTTTAAGTTAACCCCACTTTCTCTACTCTTTAAAATTAATTCAGTCCGAATTCTTTAAATTGATTTGAACAGGTAAAAAATTGCATGTCAAAAAAAAAAAAAAATGTATAAATTAATAGTTGTAAAATAAAAAAATAAAAATAAGGGGACATATTTGAAATGCTTAAAACGTTATGTATATACGAGTTGTTGATTATTAGATAATACACCTATTATAATTATYGTCTCATTCCATTAAAAAATCAACATCACTTTCAATACTCTACGATTCTATCGTCTAATAAATCGACTACAATTTTGAATTAGAAATACATGTCTATCGATAGGGTGCGGCAGTATCTTCGATATAATTGTATATTGTATCTTGATACAATTATATATTTATGTGAAGTATCGCAATACAATTTTAGTCAATGTATCAAGTATTTCTTAAAAGAAGTTCATCAAAATTATAGATAGGTGCTCGATAGGTACTCGATGCATTAATGTGATGCAATAATTCTGCTTTTCGCTAAAAAATAAATAATAATAATAATAAATAATAAGTAATACATTTTTTACTAGTCGTAGGTGATTTTCTGTAGACTATTAAAAATAATTTTCAACCCATTACTAAAAAACCATAACATAAAGGCTCTTAAATATATCATTTACTTATTAATTGTGATCTGATAATTTAATATAGAATCTTTTATCAAAATTAATAATAGTTGACAAGCTGTTACAGCTTCAAATGTGGTATTAATGTATTATAATTTATAACAATAATATATATTTTTAATACACGCACATTGAATGGAAATTTGTTTTATTTTTGTTTATTAGTAATGTAATACACCTACTAACTAGTCAATCAATTTTAAAAAACTGTGACTAATTTTATTCAAATRCATCGACTWTCTAGTATCGCGATATTCTAAAGCCAAGTATCGATAGTACCTATACCTACCTAGTATCCCTGATCTGCTTTTTGAGTATCTTACCCAACCTTGTCTATAATATTAATCTTTATTATTATCTGTATGTTATTTTACATTATCAGACATCGAAATCATTTCAATTATTAACAGATCACTTCGTCAGACATTATAAATTTATAATATCTACGTTTTTGATTATAATTAATAACAAGTCGATATATTTAAGAGCCTATAGATTATAGGTACTTATATTTAATACTCACCTACATAATCMTAAATTCCTAATCACGAAATAAGATTTATATATGTTTGGTATCAAACTTATGTTGATGACCTTGCAGTATTACTTACACAATTTTTTTAGTATTTTTCAAAACGGATTTTCGTCCAATTGAACTAAAATATAATATCAACCATCTAAATATAGTTGAGATGATAATAKCTTGAAAATATATTATATTATATTATCTGTAATTTTTTTATAATAAAAGTATTAGACTGCAGTAGCATACTCGTAAATTCTATATATGCATAATAWATTTTAGCCTATAGGTAATATGTAATATAATATGGTAATTGGTCATAGTTATGAGTTATTTTATAAATTATAAAAAGTGAAAATGATGTAAGTATTCTGATAAAATAACTGTACATAAAGTTTTGTGATAAGATGGAAATTCTATCGATGATTACTTATATCGATTTTGTCAGTTAAGAGGAAATTATGTCTAGTAGCACATAGTTAATAGTTTAATACGATTGATAGGTATACTTTGAAGAACGAGCAGAACTAGTCTGAAATCAGGTTAGATTGCGTTATATTATACAACTTGTATACGTCTTGCAATATAATATATTATTATATCTAATTTGTGTTATTATTTAATTATGTATATAAATACATTTAATTAAACTTATTTTATAATTAAGTTTTTTAACTGTCCACAGCTATAGTTGAAATGGCGTGAAATGATATATTTTAAATTTGAGTGAAATAGTGAGCTTGTAAATACGTACATAATACATATAATATAGTATATAATTTGAATTTTCAACTTTCGAGTGTAAATAATATTATATAATTCTTGATATTTCATTGCTGTATGTTTTTAGGTTAGGCTTATAAGTTAAATTAAAATATATTATTACCTATTGTGATTGGATAATAATAAATTTTATTATTTTCATAAAAATGGTTCATACGTTGGTAATACTGTTCGCATAAAGAGTTTTGAAAATGTATTGTAAGAATCGTTGTTTTCTTGAAAATTCATATAGTTTGTAATTTTTGTTTTTTTATCATTATCTACAGCTGCAAGTGCTGCAACCTTGTGTAGGTTTACACAAGTTGTGTTTGCAAAAGCATATTTGACTAACACAGTTGTTATTTTCATTTAATATTTTGTTCGATCGTATTTTCTTTTATCGACTTTTAAAAATCAAAATTATTGTACCTCTGTAGTGATACATTTTACGATCATATTATTGGCATTAAATTTGAATTTGTGTGGACATTTGAGTATTGGGAAATATACATATTATAGATAAATTATACATCAATTCATATATAGCTCATTTATGAACCAAAATATATTATTATAATAATAATATATTCTTATATATATATATATATATTATTTAGGATGCAACAGCTATTTTATCGTATTGGGCCACTAAAAATGTATGAAATATAAATCATGAGTTTAGAATTATAATATATGTATAGTTATTATAAGTATGTGAATTAACAGTAAAATAAAATAAAATATCATATTCCTTACACTGCACGATGTCCAAAAACGAATTATTTTTGAATTTAAGTATTTAAAATGTTTTTTACGACTGAATCAAGTTTACTTATCCAAAATAATAAGATTTCAAACATAGTAAAATATATTAGATGACTTAAAATTCAAATACATGTTTTTACAACCAAATTTTTCTAAAAACAAGATTTACAAATTGAGTATTTTTTTATTGAATATTTCAAAATAAATTTATGTCAGATTTAAAATTTACAGTATTAAAAAATTTAAAATRATATTATTTAAATTTAAATTTCTTTAATAAACACTTCTAGCTTTTGTATTCAATTTTAGTGACATATTATACGAGTGAGGTATATTACATTAAGTCCGATTAATATAGTCATATATTTATAAATATTCATTATTCACGTATAACATTATTCAGGTGATAACACGCCACATTGCAATAGCACACTCATAAATAGGTGCGTGCAGGAATTTTTCATAGGTATGCAAAATATAACAAGCCTATGATGTATACTAAAAAAAATGGATTAAAAAAGTCTAATATACAATTATTGTATATTATATAAAATGTTTTGATGAAATATCAAAAAAAAAAAATCAAACATTCCTTGCTCATTAAATGTAGGCAGACCACTATTTTGCGTGTTGTTTAGTGTGGATAGGGACGTTTTTTTATATTAAATTTGATAATCGATTCTCATYAAAAATCCCAAAAGGAATGTTTATTTAATTTATAGTAAGTTACTTCTCTGTATAAATGTTAAATCTCAAGTATATTTTATGCATATATTTAGGTACTATTATATAATATATTGTTGAATACTGTAAACATAATATTATACATATATATTTATGCTAAAAACGTATATCATGGAGCTCTTTTAATATAATGATAGGTAAGGTTAGGTTAGGCTAGGTTAGCTAACCTAAATAAGAACATTTTAACGAAATTATCTAAAGTATTGTTTCTTAATTCTAATTCTAAAACGTTGAATTTTACTATAAAGTATATATATAATAGCGCTCGTTAAAATTTGTTAGTATTTGATCACCGCTTGTTTAGGTAGGTATGTGAAAATAATCTTTATAACATTTTAATTAAATAGCCTTTAAATTAGTTTTTTAATTATATGTTTTCCGAATAATTATTTATAGCTTATAATTATAACTATCTGCACAATTATTCATAAATGTACTTTTAAACCTTAATACCAATATTACCAAGTGCCCGTCCTCTTTCTTTGTTGATTTTTTCACTAATATTATAATTAATTTAAAATTTTATATAATTGACAAAATAAAATAAAATTTTAATTTTTTTAAAGCCCCTCCTTCTACTGTTAAAATTTTTCACCGAAATCATATTATTCTAAAACGGATCAAATGGGGGAAAAGTAAAAACATCGGTGACAGAGAGAACAATTTAGTATATCGCATTAAATGATTAAAATGAAGCCCAAGACTTTCATGGTTCTACTATAGTACATCATCAGTTATGTTAACATGGTGTTTAAATGATAGATTGAGGTGGTTTGGGTAAAGTAAAAGTTAAGACTCTCGGTGCAAAGCATACATACTTGAATGAAGAGTCATATTAAGGGTATAAGAGTAAAAGMGGGTTGAGTGGCTTCTGAATAAATACATTTATTAGGTATATAACGTAGATCTCAGTTACAGAAATAATCAAGGTATTTCTGCAGAAGAGGACAGTCATTAGGGGAGCTGATTTTTCTGTAGAAGTTAAGATGATGTAGAATGTAGATACTTAAAGGTTTAATTACATATCTATATAATTATATAGATAATATACTAATTACTATTATAGATATTTATAGTCGTGGTAATTTACAAAATATATTGTGATAAACTAATAACCTTACATACTTAATATAGTGTGACAAATTAAAAAAATACACTTTTTATTATTTCTTTTAAGTTCCTAGACTTAAACATAATTTTATGATCAAGAAACTAGAAGATTTTACTTGTATAAGCCTACCAAACGTATGGGGTGTTTGTAAGTTCTTCAAAAATTGTTGAATTTAAATAAATTAGTAGTACTTGCATTTTTTTTAAGTGGGAATTTCAAATTTGGATTGCATTAAAACTTTATCTAAGACGTAAAAACTCTAAATATATCTCTGAGGTTTTAGATACCTTTCCTAGTAACCTAYTCAAAGAGCGATTACTCTGTATTTTAATATTATAGTTGCTTATTCTCATATTAAATGTATTATTATTTTTCAGGGAGAAGTCTCGACAATGAACTCTGACAACAACCAAGTCCTAAAAACTCCTGATCTCCAGTACCCAAACAGTCCGACACCGCCGCCATCGTACGAGGAAGCAACGCGAAACGAACTTTACTATCAACCACAACCGTGGTTGCCTTCGACTAGCACCGGGTATAATACTAGCAGTGGTCAGTCYACTATACCCACTGTGTTCAGCGTTGAGTACCAGTACAATGATGACATGTCAAATGTGCATCGCGGAAGACCAACTGCGACCACAACCACAACCACACAAAATCAGACCCAAGACGATTGCTCATCATCGCACAAGACTGCAATCCAAAACATTCCCAGTGTTACCATAACGTTGGACAATGATCAACATCCAACTGAAATTTAATGAAATAATAATAGCTGTGTCCAATACCGAGTTTCTGGATTTGAGTTTGACAGAAATCCGAAATTTTAATTATAAGGAAAATTGATTTAACTCTGATAATCCCAACAATTATGGCAATCTGGATTGTCAGGGTAATACAGAAGATTTAGATTGGAGTTCTTTAATTTTTAATTATTAAATTATTTAACTGAATTATTATAGTTATTTATAGAATATCATTGTTATTATGATTTCTTAGGTACCACATTTAACATTTATCAAATAATTATTTGTAAAATCGTTAAAAATAACATTTATTATGGTTCTGCTWGAGTATTTMCTAAATAATATAAATTCAATTGAGTAATTAAAATGAATGAAAATATAAATACAATAAGTATCCAATAGGTATCCAAAATCCAAAATATTAGATAATTATTAATTTAAATTAATTCATAGAATTAGATGATATGTAACTGTCATTATCATCTATTATAATTATATACCTATTGTTATTTAATTTAATTTAATTATTATTATTATTATTGTTAAAGCTATACTGTGGTTTATATTATGTAATAATTTGTATTGTAAATACTTATCGTTGTTTAAAACGGAAGTTTGAAATTTGTTTCCAATTTTCTAATAATTTAGGTGATGATTAATTTTGTTGTTGAAATAGGTACAAAAATAAATAAAATTTAATCAAGATATCTAAAATTAATGAATTCTGTAATTTAGATTTTTGTTCAAACTTTAAATGATAAATCAATTGCGATTGTCATGGTTTGTCTATTATACTTAAGCAATAATAAATTAATATATTTTTAAACTTGAGTAACAATAATTTATGAATATRTATTTTAAATACTTATCTTTATAATTTAACCATAGTTCAGTACCTACTTATTTTTATATATTTCTTAATAAATTACGTTATTAGTACGTATATTTTAATAAGTTGCATCTTATTTACCTAGCATTATCGAACTTCAACGACTTTCATAATGAAAATAATTTGKTTAATAGAAAAAAATGATTTGAAAATAATTTATGTGATTATAAATTATGTGGCATTATGGGTTGGTAAATATCATTTTTTATAAGTATGTGAAATTCACTGGAATCATAAACATTTTCGATTTTCAATAGCGTACTAAGAGGAGGGGGAGGTCAGCAGTTATATTTATACATTATTAGTTGTTATCACATAAATACTCTTATTTGTGTCTTTGGTATTAAAAGCAAAATTCATTCCCCTCATTTATAAATACCTATAAAAAATGTATTTAATTGTCAATTCCGACTGTTTTTTACCAGTCAGAAATTAGTTCATACAATTATATTTCTAAAAAATATACGAAGTTATGCTTATACAATATTACATTTTAATGTTCTGATATATTATCTTAAATAGTATTCATTCTTCAGCAATGTGCATTACTTGACGAATAAAYAATAACAATAAAAAAGACAATTATCAGAAGGTTAAGAATTGCCTGAAAAACAATCGTGGATTAAATTGGCTTACAAACGTGGAAAAGAACATGGAAAACGCCAGGATAAGTACAGATTTTAAGAATTATTTTAAAAATTGTAMTTTTTTCATTAAGGAATTACAACGAAGACATTTAAATGGTTGTAGAGAATGCAGAAAATAATACTGAGTCATTAAAATTTAGAAAATGTTCAACATACCGTAATAATGATGAGTCAGTATAACGTATATTATGTGTATTTGTAGAAATTAAGAGGGACACAAGAATAAAAAACACAATCTACAGCTGGCAGAATTCCCCCAGAATAGAAGGGATATCATAAACAGAATTYGCATCGGCCACAACCGTGTTACACATAAATACCTAATGGAAAAGGGAGAAAAACCACTGTGTAWTWWTTRTKGWRKRAWSWAMYA